TCCTGTGCGTTCCTGCCCAAAAAGCCCTGCTAGGCGCAGAACCAAACAAGAGCCAGCCCATGGCCACTAACGCCATCCTAGAAGAAAGCGCAGCCTTTTAAAAATTCATGCGAGGGCCCAATCTCGAGCAGCGGCAACAGCCGCATCACCAGCCTTGACTGGCGGCGGCAACAGCCAATCTCATTTCACCCCACCGTGCCTCGCCTGTCGCTGCTGTGCCTCAGCCTCAAGGCAGTTTTTAAGAGGCTAAATTTTCCTCTACACTGGGGTTGCTGTCCATGGTTCGGCACCGTGGCCACCGTCACATCCAGTCTGGCCCTGACGCAGCGCAGCTTGGACCAAGGGCACCCTATGGGCTCCTCTTGAATCCTAACCTGACATTCTCGCCACGACCCCACACCGGCTCCTCCTGACCAGGCAACAACTTAGTGAGGAGGAGAGGGGAGGAAATCAAACCTTATATCCGTGTGGATAACTCAGTGATGCAGGATTGCCTCACAGGAAGTGGGCCTCAGCCAGTCGCCACAGACGTGGGCGGAGCTTCAGGATCTGACATTGGGGAAGTCACCCTCCCTTCACCCTAAGCCTACTGATGAGTAAAATCAAGGATTATTCTGCTGTCTCTCCCCATTCTGCACACTCACCGGGGTGTCCGATGTCTTGGGATCGGGCTCTTCTTTAGTGAGCATGGGGGGCTCGTCTGTTCCCTCCAGAAGCAGCACCCCAGGATCTGCGCCCAGGACAGGAAGGGGATCATTGGGATAGGCAGACATGTGTTTTAAAAAAAACAAAAAAATTTTTAGGAACGCTCACCACTCATCGGCACTGCCCTCCTGTCCTCCTCCAACTGAGCCTACCTCCTTCCTGCCCCAGCAAGGGGGGCTGGGAGTCCTCCGCCTTCAGCTCCCCCAAAGGGGTGGGGGTGACCGTCTCGCTGCGGTCCAAGGTGGGGCTGGGGCTGTTGTCTCCCCCTTTCACGAGGGAGGTCTCCGAAAGCGAACTCTGGTTGCTGTTGTCGTCTGGGGAGACAGGAAAGCCGCCGTTAGGAACAGGGCCGGCTCACTCACTAGG